TGCTCCCAGTGTTTTCTTGAACACATTTGCAAATAGAATGCAGAGCTCTTTGGATCCCAGGCAATTCAAGTCTGGACCAGCCGACCTATCTGGCTTCCAGTCCTGCCTCTGCCAAGAACTGCAGAGCCCATGGGAAATATATGCTTTCCCCATTCTCTCTCCCTCTCTCTCTTATTTCCCCCCCAGATCTACAATATGGCTATTATAAGATCTACAATATAACATTTTTAAATGTCATAAAAGGATCTATCATTTTATATGCAACCTATGCCTAAACCCAAAGGACAACATAATCTGGACATAGACCGACCAGGTGGAAAATAATTGGAGAAGATACTTTTTCCTTAAAAATCTTTTTCTTAAAACAAAACAACAACAACAAAAACACCACAAAACCCTGCACATAATCCCCTGATATCATTTAATTTGGCACACTCTATTGAATATTTACTAACTCAAGCTAAGTGCTCCTTTCCTCCCCTCTTCACTAAGCATATTAATTTAATCTTTCTAGGTTTAATCATAAATGTATTAATAAAACCAACAGGACACCCAGGTCTTTCATTCTTCTTCACCCACATGCATCTTGTACAACTGCCATGAAAAGACAACTGAAAATTGTGCTTTTGGTTCCAGCTGTCCTGGAAGGAGGCAAGCTCTCAGCTTCTCTGGGCCGCAGCTTCCTAAGTGCAGGAATTAGCAAGTGTGAACGCTTTGCCTCTTCCAAACCACAAATGAGCCAGGAGGCTGGGCAGCCTCCGACAGCTCTGAGTGCTGGCAACTTGACCTTTGCATAAGACAGGGGAGTGGAATGCAGATGTATCCACTGAACCAAGCCAACAGATAGAAGGGCAGACATCCGGAAAGACTCCTTTGAGCGGAGGCCAGGCAGTCCAGTTTTTCACCCAAAGCTGAAAGAAAGCATTGGTTGGGTCCACTAAAAGGCCCTGCGTCCAACTGAGCTGTCCCAGACTTCGAGAGAGGCCAATTCATTTCTCAGCACAGAGTCAGAGGGACCACCAACACGTACCACACATTGTCATGGAGGGGTGTGCACACACCTCAGTACCTCCTTTCATTCCTCCTAAGGACAGCCCTACTGTACCAGTTTTGCACATGAGGAAACTGAGGCTGCAGAATTGTGAGTGACCTGGCCAATGACAAGTTCTCGATTGGGCTAGATTCCAGCCCAAGTCTCTGACCTCAACTCCAGATCCTTCCCTTCCCTCCGGGCTGCCTCAGCTGGTGCCTGAGGGCCGTGCCTGATGCCAGGTTCACCTCCCCTGACTAACAGCTGCACATCTCTTTCCCCAACACTCCCCCAGGATGGTGCAGTGACCTCTCCTCCCAGCAGGTGCTCTCCAGTCCCACCAAGACCAATTCTTCCCTCCCCTCCCCAGCACTGCAGGCTCCATCCAGGCCTCCCTCAAACTTGGCTTCCCTCCTACCTTCCCGGGAAGGCAGATGCCAGCTTCTCTTCCCCTGCACCTGCCCTGGCCTCTTCCCTCCCAAACGCTCCTTATCTTGTCTCCATTCTCTCCCACTTCTCTTTTGTTTACCACACATGCCTGGGAGGGGGGAATTGGGGCGCTCTCCTGAATAAACCTTCCCACAACACTACCACCTCCTCCAGCTATTCTCCGACTCTGTTTAACTGGCATACTCTGGATCATGTCTATACCTCCACTTGGACTGACTTGGTATCACTCCCTCCTTCGTCCCTTGTTACCTGGCTTCCATGACCATCCTTTACAGACACTGCTCTCAGTTTCTGTCAATGGCCCTTTCTCCTCCTTCTCCTCCTGGGATGCTGGCCCTTCTCAGACATCCCTACTTGCACCTGTCCACCTGCCTTCCTCAGGGGTTTGCCTCCCTCTCATCCTATTTGGTACTGTGGAGACACTTGAGGTCAGAAAAAAGAGGTTAAAATTCTCAAGGTTCCATGTCAGCCCTGTTAAGGAGAGTCGGCCTGTCTTGGGGTTTGTCCTGGCCTTTTGTGGGTTTGTCTTCTTTGGGATGTTTCCCCTTGTGGCTGGTGTAGTAAGAGGGACCTGGGGCCACCTTCCAACAGGGACATCCCCCTCCCACCTGCTCTGAGTCACTTAGACCCACATGACCTAGGACGAGGGAGCACCTACTGCTCTGTGTTATCCTGTCTAGTGCACCAGGCCTGGCACCTCCAAGTGAGAGTTTGGACTACACCCTAGAACACAATCAGCCGGAGGTGGAGTCTGGAGCATTGCCTCTGCCTCTCTCCCTGTCTAACCTGAGTTAAGTTGGTGGGCAACTGGGCATGAATAAGAGAAGGTCTTAAAGAAACAGCAGCAGAGCATCACGAGGGTGCGAATGGGGCTCTGTAGTAATGGTCCAAAGGTAGAACTACTCAGCGTCTCTTGGGAGAGAGGCCGAGAATTCACAGAGGAGGAGGCCCTTGAGCAGATGGAAGACTGGGGGAGAAAGGATAGTCCAGGACTCACCCTCCCACTGCCACCCCTGAAAAATAGCATTGCAGAGAGTAAGACAGGTCAGGATGTTGTGAGTGGGGTGTGTGTTGTGGGGGGCCATGAAAGAAGTTTGAGGAAGCACATAGGATTTAGAATTTATCCCACACAGGTCTTGGGAGCCACAGATAGGTTTTACAAGGAGACACAGTCAGCAGACCTGGATGACTGACCAGCTGTGGGAAGAGTGAGAAGTCTGAAAAGATCTCTCCCTGCTTCTGGTGTGTCCTGTTGTGTTGAATGTTAAAACTCCAAACTCACTATTCACACCGCTAATCTGTAGGTGATCTTTGTTCTTCGCTCCCAATCCAAGCAGTGCCTACACATCAAGTCCATGTCTGATGAACCTGTTCTTCCATCCAAGCCTGCTGCCACCCCAGGCTTAGACCTCCATCCTCTACCTTATTACAACAACCTTCTCACGAAGCACCTCACCGATCATCTCTCCCCAATCCCATTTTTATTTTTTTTCTGGAAGAGATCAAATTAATCTCCCTAAAGCACGTGGCTGATCATGCTAGTCCCTTGCTTAAAAATCTCAAATAGTTCCCTACCAGCTACAGAGCTAAGTTCCTCCAAGTTTTTAGCTCAGTCTCTTTTTCCATCATTCCCCTAAGGGCCACAGTCTACCTGAGGATCCACCTCTCAGCATGCACCTGACCTACCTGGGTTCTCCTCCACAAAGTCTTTCTGATGACCTCAGTCAAAAGCGAGTCTGTCTCCTCCCTACTCCTCAAATGTTTTATTTAGACCACTCTTTGGGTGCCTTACTCATTGCATCATCCCTTCATTCCTTCATCCAATAAACACAGGACACTTTATATGGCACACATGCACTGGTTTGGATCTGAGCTCCCAGGACACTTACCTCCCTTCACCGGAGAGACTGGAAATCTGACAGCAAGGAGGGAGCCCCCTTTCCTCTCTGTGTGCCCCCAGAACCTTTAGGCCCCTGTGCACAGCAAACCACAGGTACCCCCAAAATAAATTGCTTGAAATGAATAGAGAAATTACCATGTTTCCTTAAATAGTAAACTGCCTTAAGTGCATGCAAAATCAATGTCAATGATAGAGATTTAAAGTATGATTCAATATTTTTTTTTCCAGGAGCATATTAACAATGTCAAGGGAGGTGCATTTATATACTTTACAAGGTTCTGATTCTTCCTCTCTTAGCACCTGTCATGCCTTTACTCCTACATCTCTCCCTCCTTCCCATCCACACACTCCCAGTGGTTCCTGGCCCATTCTAATGGAGGAGGAATTGATGAAGCTGGAACCACCTACAGCCACGAGTGTGTTCTGAGACATTCTATTGCCCCCACCACAGCCCTCCCATAGCGCACCTGCCAACCTGTACCAATCTGACACCCACCCAGAAGTCAGACCAGAAAAGCTGGCCCTGGAGAAATACCAGGGCCTTAGAGCTCAAGTCCAAGTCCAAGGCAGGCTGAGTGTGGGATGCCCCACTGGGGAGGGACCAGCAGCACTGACGGTCCAAGAGGGGCTCTTGGTAAAAGCAGATCCAGGTATCACCTTCTGCAGCCATTCTGTCCCACCTCCAGCAGCTGCATCATGATTCCTTGAGGGGAACACATCCACCCAAGGCACCAAGAGGCAGATGCCCAGATTTCCTGTCCCCATCACTCCACCTGCAGTCCCAGCGCAGGCCTGCAGCTCTGGAATGCCCTCGCTCCTGCTCTTCCACTCCCTGCCAGACCTTGTCCCTCTTCACACTCAGGGTCCCTTATCAAGATCTCTGCACTGACCAGAGCTGCTAAGGTCCGGCTTCTGGCAAACTCCAGTCAAGGGCTCTGGACCCTCCTCCTTACTCAGTCCAGCACTGCGGGGAGGCAAGCAGCCCAAAGTCCAAAAATGCCAAGCAAACCCAAAGAAAGAGAGAAGGGGAGGCGGCCAGGTCTTAGGAGGAACTCCACTTAAGAGGGAGAACAGGATTTCCCCATCGGTACATTCCCCATCTCCCTGGAAGACGCCCCCCTCCCCACACTCCCCTACCCCGCCCACCCCTTCCCCAGGCAGGGGGGCAGGGGGGCGGGGAGGGGGGCGGGCGAGGTGTGAGGAAGCCTGAGGTGGACCCCATGCAGTACCTGAGACCAGCGCATCTGAGTGCCTCTGCCCCCGAGGAAAGGACCAGGCGACGGCCCAGGGATGGGGACACGAAGCGCAGGGGCTCCGGGCCCGGCCCTAAAGGGTACCCATCAGAGCGTCCTGGGTTGTCCCGCGGTCCCGACCCGCTCGGACCGGCCTCTCCCCGCGGCCGCAGCCGGTCCTCCCCGCCCCCCGCGCAGACACAGGGGAGTTCGCGCCGCCGCGCACCCCGGGACCGGGCTTCGGCTCCCCACCAGCCGCCCAGCCGCGGCGAGGACCCCCGCACCGGGATCTGTCCCCAAACTTTCCCCGCCGCACGCCGTGCCGGAGGCGGTCCCTGCGCCCCCAGCCCCGAAGCTCAGGTCCCCGCCGCAGCCGGAGGTCCCTCACCTGCTCGCGGCCCGTCCGAGGTGCCCGCTGCTGCCCGCTCGCCCGGACTCCGGCGCCGCCCGGCGGGACCCGCGCCGCTGCCGCCGCCGCTGCCACCGCCGGTGCCGCCGCCGCCGCCCGGAGCTGCCGCGCCGCGTCCTCCCGCCGCCCAGGGAGCGCAGTCCGGTCCCCGCGGCCCGGGTCCCCGCAGCCCCGCGCCCCGCGCTGTCCTCTCCGCCCGCCGGGGCCGCGCTCGGCGGTGGGCGCCCGCTCCCGGCTCGGCTCTCCCGGCCGCGCGGCGCCGGGCATGCACGGAGCCCCTGGATGGGCGGGGATTCCCTCCCACTGGCGGATCGGGGGGCGGGAGCTCCCTTCCCGGAGTGACAGGGGCGGGGGGCGGGGATTCCCCGGCTGGAAGGACAAGGTGGGCGGGGATTCCCCGAGCCCGGCGCCCCGCGGGCAGCGCGCTCCCGGGATAAACCCGGAGTCCCGGCGCGCGGGCTTCGGAAACCGGTGTCTTGGAAGGAACGGATCCCAGGGAGGTGGCAGCTCTCAGAATTTCCAAATGGCGGGGCTCTGGGCGCCATCTAGGTGGAGGAGGAGAGCGAGCTTGGGGGTTTTGGAGTTGCTTGGCCACAGCACCGAGAAAAATGCCAGCGGCTTTATAAATGAATGAATGAATGAATGGGGCGTGGGCCAAAGAAGATGGGGTGGGACTAGCCACTCACCCCAAGCTACCCTTGGGCTCGGCCTTTGGGGTGCCAAAGTATATTCGACCTGGTATGAGAATTGGGGGGAGGGGTAAGAGGGAATCTACTTAAACACTCCTCCCCCCCCCACCCCCCCACACACACAAACACATACACACACACACAGTTAAGCCCCAGAGGGAAACCCTCAAAAGCCAGTTCAGTGGCCCTGGGAGGTGGTGTAGGTCCTTATGCTGAGTGGACTGTGATGCGCACGCATTAGCCCTTGGCCTTGTTCCAGGTCACCGGAGGACCAGAAACCTCGGGCTTTTCGGATCCTTCATGCCCGTGGATTTTCAGCAAGACCTTCAAATATTGTTGGTTCTTTTTTTTTTTTTTTTTCTTTCTTTATTTTTGTCATCCGTGTCATTCTGCCTACCACAGGGAGAGGATGATAAGAACATAATAGGGAGACTGCACAGCTCTGCAAATTAAGCTCTTAAGAGGCAAAAGCTGGTCTTTTTCAAGTGCTAGCAGATAAGAGCAAAAAACATATGAAAAATTACAAAACCTGGGATAATGAATAGTTGAATAATGCTTTTGACATTTTCTGCAGAGCAGTAATTGGAAATCTTTGCTTGGGGGGGGGGGGGTGAATGGGGTGGGGCAGGGATCTGCTGCCGCTCTGACCAGCAAGGCAATAAGCTCTGGTCTCTTGGAAGAGAGAAAAGCATAAATCACCTGCACAGACTCTGCAGAGCCGGCCCCCGGCATCAGAAGCCAGGGGGGTCCCAAGGCATTTGGAGATGGTATTTTTGGCAGAGGTTGGGGCGGGAGAACACTTGAATTCAGCTGTTCTTTGGCTTTTATGATTTCCAGGCCACTGAGATCGGTGTCTGCACCAAACCAGGTTTCATGTGTTACACGCTGTGCAGAATCAGGATCCAGGGCTTCTCTTCCTCTCTGTAAAGAGAGGAAATACTGGCCATGCAGGATTGTTGCGAGGATGGGCGGTAACAGCTACTCAGCACAGCATGTAGAAGGTGGCACCTGTTCTCTGGAAAGGCAGCATTGGGACGCCACAAAAGAAAATCCTCCCAGAATCAAACAGTGGTTTCTGTTAGTTCAAGTCCCAGCTCCATTTCCCACCACTGTCTCCCGGTCACACGAGCCATGAAGGGCACATCTCCTGAGCTTCTGTACCTAGCACCTACTTCCTTTGCTCAAACCATAAAGCATTGCTGCTTCTCATCCAGTCCATCCCCAAGCCCTTCATTCCAGCCATGTGCCCTTAACCTAGAACTTCTGTTCCCTCTGCCAGGGCATGCTCACTCCCCTGTGTCTGCTGAAATTCCAGGGTTAAATGTTACCGCTTCGGGGAAGGCTTTTCTGGTTACTGACACCAACAGCAGGTTTCTTATTTCCCATTAATCTTTGCAATGGTAGCACTTTCTACAAGTTGCTAATATCACCCTTGTTGTCGGCTGTAGGAATCGGTGATATAGTAGGCAGTTAGACAGGAGTAGGAACATAGGACCTCGCCCCCAGGGTAACCTTTCCTCCCCTAGCATATCACTGGTCATGTGGTTCTGACCCTCCTGGAACCTTTCCTCCCCTGGGGTCTGGACAATAGCTTCATAGGATTCCCTTGCACCACGACAATTCCCTTAAGCATTAAACCCTCAGGACAATAAGGTTCTGGCCCGCATCAAATAATCTTAGGAACAAAGCCTCCATTCTTTTGACCACAGAATTTTGGTCAAACTAGAGGTAACATCTAGGCCTCAGTTGTGTTTCAGCTCCAGGCCCAAAAAAGCAGTAAGGCCAGGTGGGGTGACTCCATGGCTGACATCAGGACCAGCTGCGATGACTAAGGACCCCTGCCCTGGCACCAACCATGCAATAGAGAACAAGACACTGAAAGGATACATCTGAAAAGTTGATGAATTTTCTGTTGAAATCTTCCCCTGGGACCTCCCCTAAAACCATGGTCTTTGAAAAGTAAAAAAAAAAACAAAAAAACACACACAAAACAAACAAACAAAAAAACAGCATCTCAGGATAAGAACTAGCATTGGTTCTTGTTGTGGAACGCACTCGAGTGAACAACCACTGGAGTCCAAACCAAATTGAAATTTAGGAAGCTTTTAATAGCTGGCCAGCAACTACTCTGCCTTTCTCCACACAGGGAGTCCAGAGAGCAGCTCCGACCCTTTGTGCAGGACCACTTTTAACCACATCCTGTTTTTGCAGAGCAAGCAAAACAGTTTTCCCAAGCAACTTTAGGGTCATGTCATTTACAACCATGTTATTCACAGTGTCATCCTGTTCTTCAGAAAGCTGACAGTGTTCTATGAAAGAAGGCCTACGTGCTGGGAAGGGGTCATGAGATCGTATATCAAGGCCTGGCCTGATATCAGCCCTGACAATTCTATCCGGGGCATAGTCCACAGCCTCAGTAAAAATTCCCACTCTCCAACAGTTCGCTCTCTCTGGGGCACACCTGAGTCTTCCCCCTCTCTTTCTCCAGTCACATTACCTTTACCTCTCTTCCTCCTAAGTTCCAAGGGCCCTTTTTTTTTTTTTTTTTTGCCTCTGTAATTTGTTTCCTGGGCCTACGCAGCCCAACTGACTCACTTCTTTCTACTTCTGTGACTTTGTAAATAAACATTTCCTTCAATTTGAGTTCCTTGGCTCTGAATTCTTTCTTTGCTGAACTCAAGTACCCAGGTTGCTGAACCAAGATCCAATTGCCAGTAACTTCTAGTGCCATTTCTCCACTGACAATGGCGTTCCCTCTCACACATGGTCAGCTTGTGAGTTCCTGGATATTGTTATAGAATAGTAAGAAACTAAGAAAATTCCAGGACTAGTGAAATGGGGAAGGTGAGACGTAATTAAACAAGTTTGTGTCTACCTAGTAAATCCCTAAACCAAGGATACTTAAAAGTAAATAGTTTGCACTTCTCCTTCATAATCACCAAATAGTTTAACTCATCCTACTCTGGGAGACAAATAACAGAAATCCAATTAAGTGCCATTTACCAACCACACCCAAGGATGGACTAATTAAGAGAATAAAGCACACCTGTGCCATTCCCTTTTCCCTCCTCTCAATCTTCCCCCCATTCCTTGCACCTATATCTTAATCAGTGGTTGGCAAATTCATTAATCGACAGTGGCACATAGCGGCTCATGAGTTAGGAGTGGTTTGCCGACCACTGTCCTAACCAATTAACCTCTTAGGGACTCCACGAGACTTGCAACCAGGAGAGCAATGGACAGCAGCAGCTTGTCTCAGGCTAACCCCCTGAATCTGTCTCCAAGGCCTCCTTTTCCCTCTTTCCTCTGATTTCCCAGTGAGCCAGGGCAGCCCAGCCCAGGACCTCCTGCTACTTCATCCATGCTCTTCCTTGTTTCACTGCCCTAAGTATGTTTCTGCTGTAGTCAATAAATTCTGGCTTGCTTTTCTACACTTTGTCTCTTGACTGAAATCTTACCCTCAAGAATATAAAAACCGAGGTCTCCTCATCTCTTCTTGTCATTTTCCCGGTAACAATATTGTGTCCCCAAAACCTAGCATGACATAGTATCTAGCCCAATAGCCTCTCAATAAATATTTGCTGAATTAAAATGAATTGTTAAATATACAGGTGTATATGATATATCACATATAAAACAGATGCATATGCCATATTCTATCTTCTGTCTCCATTGGACATGGCTCTGCTTACCAGCTTAAAGTACTTCTAATTTCAATCACTTTTGCTCCAATATTTTGCAGAGAGTTTTTGGCAGGTTCAGGTTTCTGGCCTGCTAATAATAGCTCACCTCGAAAGGGGTCAATCAAATGCATGAAAATTTTGTTTTGCCCTTGCAGTCTTGCCAATTTGAAAAGCTCACCACTGAGGGCATTTATTTCCCAATGTTTGACGTTCAAAATGTAAGTTCTTTCTGTCCCCGTTGTTAAATGTTTAGCCACAGATAAGTACTTCTTTCCAAGTTGTCATATTAATTTATTGCTCATCCTATATAAGAAAGCCTAATATGCAAATTGTCCGTCCCCCGCTCCCCCCAGCAGTCGTTCGACTGGGAGTTTGACCAGCAGACCAGGAGTTCGATTGCTTGCTATGACGTGTGCTGACCAACAGCGGCAGCATGGAACATGGCAGATGTCAGTGACAGGGTGCTAGGAGTGGGTGGCAGTGGAGGCACTGCTGGCCCTGGAGCAGATGAGCGGATAGCATGGTTCAATTCCTGGTCAGGGCACATGCCCAGGTTGTGGGCTCAATCCCCAGTAGGGGGTGTGCAAGAAGCAGCCAATCAATGATTCTCTCATCATTGATGTTTCTTTCTCCATCTCCCTTTCTCTCTGAAATAAATAAAAATGTATTAAAAAACAAACAAAAGTAACCAATGAGGTGACTAAAAGAAAGAGATGAAGAGCAGT